TGCGTATATTAGCTGCGACATATGAATCAAGATGCTATGACTGAAACAATCTGATTGACTGATGACCGTTGATATATGATTGGCCAAATTCAGGTGTGCAAGCTGACGTATAACTAACTGGCCTGCATAAGATAACGGAAAAAAAAACAACTGTATTTTTAAAAAAATAGAAATTTTCTAACTTTTTGGACAATGTCTGATAAAGATTACATTTATTTACATGTTTAAGGCAGAATGATTTGACATTTAAATAATTTTTGTAAATATTGGTTATTAACAGCAATATTATTATTGGCCCAAACATTGTTATCGGTGCATCCCTCATGAAATATCAAGCGCTCTTGGAAAGCAGTGAGTTTGCTTGGGTTGCTTTGGCTCTGCTGCAGTAAGACTGAGCTGCTGGGTTCTCATTGCAAACTATCACCAATGTGAAATACTGTTCCTTCTTTTGCTTGTCTGTATTTATGCTTAAATAAGGCCTACTGAAAATCTAAACTGTTATTATTGGTGAATCAGTTTTTCAAAAATAGAATAAAGCTGTGGTAAAAATACACCATACTTCCTTTATGCTCGGTGCCAGATCTGTGAGAATGAAGCTTCAAAGCATGTTAAAGGAGCAACAAGTACCACTAGTGCTCTAAAAAAAATGTGCTTTTACGTGAAAGGATACCTTTTTCTAAAACTAGGTTCATTTTTATACATTAAACAAAATAAAAGCAAAAACTAAAGATGTATACTAATTAAAAAAGATCTAAAAATACAGTCTAAATGATTTATTGATGAGTCAGCCGGCCGGGGGTTTGGTTGCTTTGCTGTCAAGATGTGTCCTGTCATTAAGTGGATTGAGAGAAATGAGGATGGGAGGCGCTCTGTAGGAAGCACTGGTGCTCAGCTCCTCCTGCAGCATGTCAGGGCGGCACACGTGGATCAGCCGGCTTCTGGGTGTCGCATGACGCTGTGGTGAGGTGGCTCTGTTGTGATGATTCGCTTGGTGATTGGCTGAAATTTTCAACAGAGCAGTGAGGACACAGATTAGTGAGGTCATGTGAGCATGTCGAAACTAAGATTGAGATCAGTTCTTTCAAATTAAGACAAATATGTTCCAGCATTTTTATATAAGGACAAAATGTTTTTTTTTTTTGTTTTGAAAAGAACGCACTCTGCTTCCTCAGCTTTAGAATGTAAAAGCTTCTAGTAGGAGGTTAGAGGAAATCTTTACATCTTTGCCCCTAATGGGAAATTGTAGACATTAAGGGAGTTTTATCACATTTAGGATATAGAAGTGAAGATAAGGTTTTTGTTTAGTTTTTTTCTTTCTGTCAATTAGGACTTGACAAACAAAGAACAAAACAAGTAGAGCAGGATTGGCTCGTCAAGCTGCGTAGTTTCAGTAAGAGTCATGATTTTGTTCCAGATGCCCAGAATCAGGTCAGAAAACAAGTTCATGTTAAGGCACTTTTCTGGGTCATTGCACTTAGCAGTACGGGGTCAGTGGATGTTTATTTCTGAACAGAACTGATCTTAAAGTCTTGAAGTCAGGCATTAAATGGGTTTATTTAAAATCTAAGCGACGTTGTTAGAGAAATGAACATGAATGAGTGTTTTTTTATGGTCACAAAGGATATGAGTGGATTTGCAATTCAAACCAGATTTATTTGTAGAGCATCGTTCATACATGAGATGATTTAATGTACTTTAACGGAAAATAAGAAAAACAAAAATAAAATCAGATCCTGGAATACATGTAAATGTAAAATAATTATGATTAAAGCAGAAAGGCTGAACTTTGGAGTCAGTTTTTGAACTGATTCCTCGCAGCAAGAACCTCCTGGGTCTTACTTCATGGAGTTAGCATGTTCTCCTTGTCCATGTGTGGGTGCCCTCCACATAGCTTAGCTTCCTCCCACAGTCCAAATAAGGTAGGTTGGTGACTCTAAAAGGTGCCCCGTGTGAGTGTGTGCATGGTTGAGTGTCTCTGTTAGGGACGGGCGACCTGTCCAGGGTGTTCCCTGTCTTTTCCCAATAGACTGCTACAGATAAGACACCAACGAGAGAAGAGGAATTGTTAAAAGAAGCATTACTAATACATCTATAGGATGTTTTTTGGGGGAATGCTGCAGTATAATGTTTCCAGTGTTGATTGAAGGGACCCAACGTTTTTAATAAGCTGATTCCTGAGACGAGGAGCATAGAAGCTAAACAGAGTCCCCTTCTTTAGTTCTGGTTCTAGAAAGACCCGAGGGGCCTGCAAGATTTATAAATGTGATATGCAAATTTGAAATATTTGTAGACCAAGGCGATTAATTCCTGAGGCATGTACCATGAAGCAGGATTACTGGGTTAGAGAGACAACTTCAGGTTTAACCCTGACTTTCCAGTACCAGGAAGCAGGATTCATTCTTAGCGAGGCTAGTCACCATGGTAACCTACTCTGAACGTCAAAACCTTCTCTGGGGCAGTTTAGCTTTCAGGATTGATCAGAACTAAAGGACCCAGAGTTCGAGGCGGAAATACAGTTAGATTTAACAAAAGTTTATTTTAGACGGAACTGCAGAGAACAGCATCAGGATCTAAGGCAGGAACCTCTGCAGGAGGAGAACACAGGTTAGTGACCCAGAAGCTGATGTCTTGGAGGTTGGAGGACAGGAGTGAGCAGACGAAGGAAGGCAGGATAATCCAGAAGGCGAGGCCATGTCGATGACGTGCTCTGAAGTCAGAGCCAGGAGATCAGAGGGCCGAAGAGGTGCCAAAGGGAAATCCAGACCGGAGTCGGGGGACAGTTCCTGGTTCGGTACACTGGCAGAAATCTGGCAAGAGTCAGAAGACAGGTCAGACAAATAGATCAGATAGGCAGGCTCAGAGGTCCAGAGGCAGAACAGGTCAGGATCAGGCAATCAGAACACACAGGAACGCTAGAGAAATCTCACCAAAGGCTCCATTAATCAGGCACTTATGAATGGTTGAAGGCTGGGTAAATAGAGGCTGAAGCAGGTGGATCAGATGAACGGTAATGAGAACTGGGTGGCGATAGGCAGGTGAGTGGAATGAGTAACCAGACCAGGCACCAGCACCAAGATCATGACGACAAGATGAAATTATGTTTTTGTTTTCTAATTTTATCTGCTCACAAGTCCTCTTCATTCCCGAGGGCCAAACAGTTACCATGCAGTACAGTTATCGGGATGCAGTCTGTGTTAAATGACACTGATGTATAACTTGCTCATCTACGCAGTCAGGAATCCTTTGCAGAATGTTTGACTTTTCATTGACACTTTTTCTTTTCTCTTTGTATTTCTGTAAGACGAGTTGTAGTTCCTTACCTGATAAGTACGACGTTCTCCCTTCTGAGCTCATGATTGTGACTGGTCTGCTACCTTGAACCTGCCTCTTTATATGTTTCAGAGTTATTCACAGATTCACAATCAGTTGATTGTGAATCAAACTGGATTGAGTTGATAACCATGTTCATAGTACTGCTGATCCAGATTGCTGTTGTTGTGGATTGTTTAAACTGGTTAGGCTTGGAGTAATCCCATTCAGCTGAGCTCGCTTCCTGTTACGGGCCACATTTAGACCTTTAGTACATTTTTAAAATAAGTCATTGAACAAACAAGGAACCAATGCAGTCATTTAAGGAACAATGTGCATTACAGTTGGTCAAAGCTCTGTTAGCTGCTTTTTGGATTAACTGGTGAAGACTATTTTAGACACACTGACTCAGTGACCGTAGCAAACTACTCATGCGATGAGTTAAATAAATGAATGTCATCAGCATATTTATCAGGTCAAATGAAATCTTTGTATATCTTAACCTAATCTAAGGGGGCCTTTAGAGACAAACCAGGTCACTTTGGCTACGTTTACACTGCAGGCTTTGATGCTCAATTACGATTTTCTTGTGAAATTTTTTGCGTTGCCATTCCCATTTCCAAATATATGCGACTTGTATGTGATCTACTGTGGGAACTGCAGTCATACAACCCAAGTGTCCCGCATGTGCAGTAGAGGACGAAATGATGTCCCAGGCCAGTGTGCTCTATGTTTACGGAAGTAAACATGGATGTAGTGCTGGAGCGCATCTAGTGATCTTTCCCAACTAGAAAAACACAATCTTTTCAAGATACCGTAGTTAAACATAAATACTTCTCTCTGCATCATCATCTGCCATGGTTGTTGTTTTTCTTGTTGCTTCTTCATAGCAAGACCCAGAATAGTGACCTTTGTTGGGTATTAATAGCGTTCAGGTCGGATGAATCTGACGTGGCCGTTCAGACACAGGTTGCATTTGAAAAGATCAGATTCGTATCGGATTCAGGACCACATAGCCAAGTAGCCTGGGTCAGATTGGAAAAAAATGGGATCTGTGTTGTTTAGACTGCCATGGAAAGATCAGATCCAGGTTGTGTATGGGCAAAAAATCTGATTTGGTTCACTTCAGGCTGCAGTAACGCAGCAAAAACGTAGCCTTTGTTGTTTACACAGATCTGAACCAGTTTAAAACAGAACCAATCTGTCCCATTCACTTTTAATTTCCATGAGTCGGAAAGTCATCATCATCCTATCAACTAGGTTAAATAAAACATTTAGTGTTTTCCTTTGAAATAGGGAAAAACAAATTAGGTGATGTTAGATAGAAATGGGCTCAGATTTAACTTCTCTATCAGGTTTGTTCTCAGCAGTTTTAAGAAAATGCTGCGTATATATAGCAGACATCAAAATGCTTGTCCGATAGTAACCCTCCTGTGAATGTTGCTGTGTGCAAAAGGCGTGTTTCTCTCTGGTGGGGGATGGGTCTCAGTTTCAGCATCATCTCTAAAGAGGGAGATGTGTGTCTGCTTCCTCCCTGCAACTTCCCCCTCCCTTTTTTTTTTTGGTTTGCATGACCTTATGTGGTGCATGGTGTGAGCATTTTCAGCCAATGGGGCTGAGTAAAGATGAAATGGGTGGGGAGATTGCCTGGAAGAAGCTGGTGAGCCTGTCTTGGGTGGGGTATGGGATGGAGGAGGGACCTGCAGAGCCGGCCGGCTGCTACTCCTGTTTGAAAATAAATGATATGCTGCTGCTGTAGACATCCTGGTCGGTTGTAGGATTAGTGATCCATCTGCTTCATTAGAAGAAAGGGAAAATACATTCCTAGAGAAAACCTGTTGGATAGGAACCGGGAAGATAATCATCTGACAATGCAACGTGAGTAGCTGAATTTAAAACAAAATGTTGATTTTGATCTCTGGGCTTTAATTTTTGGGTAATGATCATTGAGAAAACAGACCAGGTTGTTGTGGATTTCACCTTTAAATGTCTGAAGAAGGAGGAAAACCATTGTCTAAAGATTTTATCCCTGGTTTATTTTTCCTAAAGGTATATAATATTTAAAGAAGTGTTATATTTCTCCTTTGGTTGTGGCTGTTTTGCTCAACTTAGATCTGGACCTGAGTATTTGGACAGCTTGGCTCCATCTCTATGCTGAATGGGTGTAACCCAGCCTGCAGATCTGTATAAATTTCCCATCTCACTCTTGTCTTTTAAAAGCTTCAGCTCATTTTTTAATGAGGTCCCCATCTTACTAAGGGCAGGAACTTGATCTCCAAAAAATGAGGATGCAGACGATCACGCCCAGATCTCCCTGTCAGCAGCAGTGGCTTCAGATCGCCCTATGCTTTGAAAGCTTAAAATTCCTCAGCCTGTTTAAGGAAACAGAAAAAAACGTCCAGAGGGGATTTTTTTTCTTTGTTTGCAGATCAACCCAAAAGAAACAGATATTCATTGATCAAATTATACTGTTTAGTGAGATTCCCTCATGTGGTTCATGCCAAAGGCTGTTTCTGTTAGGATTTTATTTCATCTCCTTCTGTTAACAGGACACCCTGAATAAGACGTGTGTTTACCCGCTCAACTGTTGCTGCTTTCTCCCTTCCTGAACAGAGCAGCTGTTGCAAAGCTCGACTGTACTCCATCGTCATAATCCTCTCTCCCATCTGCATGACTGCAGTGTTTCTGCAGCCGTGTCAGCGTGTGCAGGCCTGAGTGATTCATTCTTAGCAGTGAATTTTCCAGCCTCAACAAGCCACATTTTTTTTACGTGCTTGTGATATTAATACCAAATCATGCTCATCATCCTGCACAAAAAAGACATAAAAAGTACCGTTTACAGTTTACTCATTGCATTAGTTGAATATGTGCAAAAATTAAAGGTTTCAGACATGATAAGATTGATTTAAATACTTGAATACTGGGGAAATCCATCTTTTCCACCAGAAAGCATGACATTTGAGATTGCCTTACAGCTTCAACCATTGTCTCCTCGGTGAGCTTTTGTTGATGCTTAAAGGTGTTTTTTTTTTCTGCCAAGAGTAGCTGTGGGTGTTTAAATACTTAGTGATGAGTGGAATCTTAAGAAGGTAGAAAGATGTTGAATGACGAGTTCATATGATGGTGGCTGATGATTAGAAATGGTGTTTTAAGAGAGAAAGAAGTGCAAAAGAAAGCAAATAGGTTGTAAATATTTAGTTGTCTTACACAGAAATGGCACAGATCCACTAAAGATGAAATTAAAAAACAAATTTATTAGAACTATAGCAAAAAAAAGATGCAACTACCTGTTTGGATCCTAATGAAACTAAATATCAGTATTACGTCTTCTTCAGTAGAAGTCAGTCAGCACCCTAAACCTTAATTTTGAGACATTAACTAGCTTGGCATCTCATACGTTTTCCATATCTCTCATATAACATCTAAAGATTTTCCTCTGCAGTTCGTTTAGCCCTTTTCAAAATGTTTCCCTTTCCCTGAATCGCCCTTTTATCTATTTGGATGTATTTTTCGACTTAAGGTGATGATAAGAAATGTCGTTTTTTTTAAATTTGGGGCGTTTGGTCAGGTGTGGATGTAGAGAGGAGCAGGTTGGGAATTCCTGCAGTCCAGCTAGTGGTGTCGTCCTCCTCCTTGACCAATTTCAATCTCTTTTTTTTTCAGCCAATTTGTTGTATCTGTTAGTGTTTCTTTAGTCTGAAAGTTGTTTTTGGAACCGGCTTGCAGTCAGATAAATAAAATGCCTGTAACTTGTGGATTTAGTTCAAGAAGGCAAATTAGCTGAACTATATTTCAGGTTCATCAGGTTTCATATATCGACTGCAGGCGTTGTCACAAGAAGACTGAATGTTTAAAAAGTGTTTCTGAGAAGTCTCAGGTTAAAGGTTAATACATGTGGCCAAGAAAGGCTTTCTCTACTGACCTTCAGGAAAATGTTTCCTGCTCTACCTAGAAAAATAGTTTTCATTTATTAATTTCTTTCTTTCTTTTTTTATTACAATTCAAAGATCACCACAGGTGTTTAAGCTTTAGAAAGGCATCGTACATTTAAGGCCAATTCTGAGTCTTATATTTAAATCAGTATTTGCCCCCAAACATCAGAGAAAGATGTAGAAGAATAATTCACATTAGATCTAGACACGGGCTTTTTAGGTTTATCCAGACAGACCGAAGGTTAGCGCTTTCAAAATGACCAACATTAGCTGATACCAATGTTAGAGCAGATTTCTTAAGTTCATTGAAAAGAAATTAATCTAATATAGGTTGTAGACAGCATTATTATAACTGCTAATGTGTAACATTACCAAAAAAAACCCTCTAATCTCTTACCTAACTTTAAATCAGTAAAGAAACAGATCATAGTTGATGTTTTTTGTTCAAATCTATACTCAAACATTGATACCACTAACATCAAGGATTTTCCTACTCAAGGCTGTTGTCCTGTTATAATGTCATACCGACCCATGCCTGATGAGATCCCTGTCCCGCCCAAAACCAAAACAAAGCCAGAAACTAAAGGCATGAGGAGGGGTTGAGGTCTCAGTACCCCCCCACCCCCCTCATGTCTCAGCACCCTGACTGAACAAACCTCCTCAACCCTGAGCCTCCTCTGTGCTATGTGGCCGCCCCACTAAGGGCGTCAGCCACCCTGCGACGTTACGTTCGCCACCGATTTGGATGCATTTTAGTGTTAAAAATGAGTTCAACCTGTTGTGGTTGGTTACTGGAGGTTTAGTTTGAACAAATTCGTGTCAACCTCTAAAGCTCGCTTCAAAATATGTTTGCCCCTGCTCTCTCTGACCTCTCTGGAGCCTTTTTTCTGTCCGATTAGCCAAGCCTAATTGTTCCTGACAGGCGAGCCATGATAGGCTCCTGCCACAACAAGCAGAGGAAGCTGCTAGTATGGGTTAAAGTAAACAGGTCAAAGATGTGATAGGGGAACTGGAGGGGGATGTCCGTCCGGTCATGATGTAAAACAAAACTAAAAGTACCTGAGACTCTTCTTTAACTTCTGTGTTCAGTTTTCAAACTATGTTAAAACTTTAACCTCTGATTAGAGAGTAAAGGATAGCTGTTAGATACATCTGGAGCTGTGTTCTTCCACTTTATAGGTCCATATGCTCCTCATGATAAAGTTGTGGTTGGTGTTGGAAGTAGGGCTAAACTATGAATTGCATTTGAAATATGGCAGATTTAAAGCTCAATATTTCTGGTTAGGTTCTTTTTAACGAGAGTAAGACACTAACTTAGGAAAGGTAGTTACAGGTAGCCTGCAAATCCATGCAAAACAACTAGAAGTAAGCAGGTTTCCACTCAACATGTCAGAAACGTAGATGCTTGTGGTTGGTGCAAAGGAAAATTAATATATTTTGGTGCAAAATCAGACAGCCCTAGTAGGAAGTTTACATTAAAAATCATTGTTGGCATGAAACCTATAGAAAATTTTGTCTTTTGGATTTATCTGAGGGATTTTTTTTATTACTATGCTGGACTGAAAGCATAAAATCTAATTGTAATTCTGTTTTCTAATCAAAAATATGGAGCTTATACATAAAAATTAAATATATATACAAAGTTAACAAACGGAAAATGGTTTAACAAACTCATACATGAATAATAGAAAGTAATTCTAACATTAGGATTGTTTCATTAATGACCACGGACAATGTGTGGTTTTCTCTATTTGCTTCTAGAAGCCATTTAAACATAAAAATGTGTGTATTATTTCGACCTAATGTGGAGTAAAAAAAAACCCCAATAATATTTGTGTTACAGTGACTGCGTGCGAACCCAGTGCCATGTCTGAAGCTGTGGTGATGGAGCTTCCTCGAGAAGGAGGCTTTCTGGGGTCATGTGGAGCAGGAGAAAGTTCAGCTTCCCTTGATGATGGCATTTTGGACACAGCAAAGTAGGTTAACTCTTAACGTATTACAACTGTTACCCTCAGAAAATTAAATTTAACCTTTAGTCAGTTGTGCCATGTGTTGCATTAGAAACCATCCTCTCTGTGTTGGCAAATAGGCCATTCATTGGCTGCTGGAGTTGCACCTTTGAAAATGACAGCAGCCAATGGAAGCTTTGCAAGCTATCTTGTGACACACAAGTAATTCAGATTGATCTGTCTACCTCAGACAGAAACGTTCCACAAGGTGCACTACTTGGCCCATTTGTTATTCATCTTCACATATTTCTAAAACCAAGGATAAAAAAGGCTGGGCAATAAATCACTCTCAATATATATATATATATATAGCAATAGACCCCTGATTAATATCAATATAAAATATATTGATAGATTTTTACTAATTCCACCGAACTCTGGTTCAGAAACACATGGCATTCTGGGAGATGTAGGCAGAGGAAAGGATAGAGTCTCTCAACCAAAACTAAGCAAGGTTGGTAGTCAGGCCGACCTCTTTTTAAAGGTTAAAGTCGTAGGGAAGTCATATTTAAATGTCAAATAATTCTGGCTTAAAAATGTACTCTTTATCAGTCCATATTGTTCCAAAAGTTAGATTAAAAAAAAAAATCCTGCCTTAAAACCTGTTTTTTATTTCGTTATTTTATGCGGGCCAGTTAGTTATATGTCAGCTTGTACACCTAAATTCGGCCATATATCAACAGTCATCTGTCAATCAAATTTTTTCTGGTCATAGCATCTTGATTCATATATTGCAGCTAATATACGTAACGGTTGAAATAAGAATAATTTACTTTACCATTGAGTTCTGTCCCAGTGTTCACGGGGTTGGACGTCTGTGGGAACCTACTAGCACTAAGTTGCTAACTGGTTAGCAAGATGCTTCTGACAAACCGGCCACAACCAAACTTACTTGCCACAACAATCCCGCCCCCTTGATAATTGACCAATCACATTCACTTTATTAAGTCGGGCACCACTCGGGAGAATTCAGAAATGCAACTGTTGGATCAGCCGCTTCCCTACGACTTTTAAGTATATGTTTAAGGGCTTTTTTCATTGGTCTTTATGTCAAATAGGCAAATAAAACACATGTAATTAATAATCGATCTCAGCTGATAATAAAAAGCTTATATACGGATACGTTTTTCAGACGTGTCACTCTGCCCAGGACTGTATGCTGGATTTCACTTCTTCCCTGATGATACTCCTATTTACTGCTCCTCATGTAATCCTTTTGATCCCAACATAATACAGCCTGCTTTAAAGGCAGAGAAAGCAACATTTATGTTTTTGAAAATATAAATAATAAATTGTTCAACAAACAATCTTATGGTCTACCTCTAAATACATCTGATTTTTATTTCGTGTTGTCTAAAATAATCTTTTATTTTAGATACTAGCCTACTCCTAGACCTGATTTATTTGTCTGTTCTTTGGTGATATCTACAGTATCAGTGTCCTACATGCTTGTCAGTTCACTCTTTAGTCGTCATTCCAGATAGTTCATTAGTTTTGAAACACAGAAAGGGAAATCACCATCTTGTCTGAAAGATATTTTTTGATTGGCTCAAAGAGTGACACCAACCTTTGGGTCACTCTGAACTTCATCTGCAACATCTGGTATCTATGACTAAATTTAGATAACCTGTTAAATACTTAGGAGTCCAAAATAACTGTGTTTCTGTTCTTGTTATTGTGACCCGTCTATAAGCAGCTCCTAACATGCTGTTAACTGTTTCTTCCCTCTAATGACTCAACACTGTTACGTCTCTCCTCCAGTTTTCCTCTAGTTCCTTTGCAGAGACTCTAACTCTGACTTCTCTTCCTTTTTCCTCAGTGAGTCTTCAGAGGAAGAGTCCACGGGGGAGAAGGAGGAGATGGCAGCTCCAGATGCAGCCACCAGCAGCACTAAGTCTTCAGCAGCGCTGCAGAGCTCAGAGGCTCAACTGGGTGAGGCCTGAAGCTGCACTGCCATGTGTTTATATTGTCTGAGCAGCTGGATTTAACATGTAAAAGAGGATTAAAAAACACTTTAAGGATTTATTTTAATCTCGGATGAAGTTATTCTGTCTGTTCTTGTTGCTGAAGTCAGCATTTTTTTGGCTGAAAGTCTTTTCCCGAGGAAGCAGAACCCACATTCTTTGGAAAAAAAAAAAACTCCACTTCCCTTTTCCTGAAACTCATGAGCGGCGCTCTGCCCTGTTAGTCAGTAAAGGAAGAGTCTTCTCTTTCATGTTAGCTATAAAGATAACAAGAAAATCTATATTTCATTGCGAAAATCCCGGCAAATATTTGTTAAAACATTTGTTATCCAATATTTAGATAGACTGACTCAGTGGAAATTATTTTAATACACCCAGCCCATATTTACATAATAGAAATCCTATTGTATTTTTTTGTTCAGTGAGAAAGTTATTCCCCATCCTGTCTGTTGGAGGAACTGATAAGCAGCTGTTTCACCAGCAATAAATCCAGCATGTGACTCCACTTTATACACAAACATCCTGCTGCTCGTTAGGCCAAAAACACATCTGTTCTTTCACACTGCAAACTCCCAAAGGACCAAGAGACGTCTTCTCCTGGTTTAATTATCAGAATCCTTTGGGGTCTATCAAACCCAGAAGAATATGTTAGCCTATGGTGTAGTTTTAATCTAATATGTCGTACACCTGGGTTTCTCACTTAACTATATTTTTTTCTAATTACGAAGAATGTCTGGCTTAAACCGGGGATCAGCTGAGATTTTTGTGACATATTTGTACAATTTAAAACAAGATCTTAAGACCTGCAGTATAAATTGACACACATCCTGTTTTTGTGTGTGTCCGACCTTAGATAGGATAAAACTTCTCTTATTTTAGTCGAGTTGGGATTTTAAAAATTTGATCTATTAGCTAAAATGTTTTAATGGGCTACTGTCGAAAACCTCGAACTCAACGCTATTCCTGACACTTTGAATTGAAAAATCTTCCTGGATGGGAAACAAAACGTCTTCAAACTTGGAACTTGTTTTTTTTTTTTTTTTATAACTATCCAAAGACTGACTGAGAATCTTCACCAGCATATTAGCTACAAAACAGGATAATAAGAGAGATATTTTTTTACTATGTTAAAAAATATTTCTATTAAAGTCAAAGTTTACGAACACTCAGATGTGAACAAACCTGACTCAGCTACAATATTTCTGTCTGGAGGAATGGGCCAAAACCACAGCAAACTACCGTGAGAAGCTTAAAGCATCACTGTAACTTTTAGCCACTAGGGGAGCTAGACTAGACGTAACTTCCAGGTTTAGCGCCCCTGGTAGCCACTGACGGCACTGCACAGTCTAAAGGAACCAGACGACCTCTTTGTAGCAGCAGATTGAGAAGTCATGGAGTTACTGTGAATTCAAGGCTACATTCAGTCCATCCATCTATTTTCCGTTACCCAAGCGGGGTCACGAGGGGTGCTGGTGCCTATCTCCAGCTGCCTACGGGCGAGAGGCGGGGTACACCCTGAACAGGTCGTCGGTCTATCGCAGGGCAGGCCACATTCAGTCTCTACATTAAATCCTGCATCAGAAAAACTAAAATATATCTGATCAGAGTCATATCTATTCTCTAGTGAGCTCAGACTGTTGTGAGGTGACGCTCTGGGTCAGTGATAGATCCGAGCCTCCCTGGTTACATTGGACGGTTTTTGAAAAGTGCATGGATAGGCACCAAGAGCTGAATATAGACCCCCCCCCCAAAAAAAAAATTGTTGAATAAATCACAAATTAAGCTAACATCGGGGTCAAACATTACACAGTGCTGCTTAACCCGAGTCGATTTTTTTTACTATTTATTTCTTCGTTAAAAGTTTATTTTATAAATCTGAGTGAATATGAAATTCAGCTAAATGTCCTTTTGATCAGAGCTCTAAATGTTTAATGTACTTATCCCAACCTAAAGTGTTGTTGTGTATTTTTGCGTGACTGCACCAGCCTGCCATGACTTTAGATAAGCTTTATAACCTTTTCCCCATATTTATTTTAAAGTTATTACATATTTAATTGATGTTTCCTTTGGGTTTTTCCTTTCTCCTTTTTAACCACTCCTAGCAATGATCCCTTTCTTTCTGTGCAGTGCTTTAGTCTAACATGTTTGCTTTAAGTGCTGTATAAATGAAGAAGTTTGGACTAAACACCCCAGACAAAGGTTGGGACACACCTTAGCATTTCAATGGCTTTTCCTTATTTCTATTACTTTCTAGATCATATATACAGAGAGCAGAACTAAAAATAACAAAATATCTTTTATACTTTAGTTTTTTGTTAAGACCCCCCCTTGGTTTAATTGCTGCTTTCTAATTCTCTCAATGAGAATTAATGAGAGAAATGACTTTATGTTAATATTTACCTCATTAATGCTTAATGAGGTAAACCTCAAAAGCTTTTTAAACAGTTTTGATGAAGTTAGATGAGTTGGAATAAAAAACAAAAAAAAATCACTGAATAAGGAAGGTGTGTCAAATAGCTACATAGAAACTGTAAATATATTCTTTGTTGGAAATCATGACCCTTAAAAATGACTCAGCTCTACAGACAAAGTCTAGAAGAAAGAATTTATCACAGCGGCTCGTTATCAAAGCTCTAAGTGTCTCTTCTCATCATTCAGCCCAGAGTCCACCGTCAGCAGAGCTCCGTCTTTGGACGACACATCGCGACGGAGAGGTCAAACTGAGGGTCGGAGACTCTGGTGTGGCTGCCGAGGAACCTCTGACTGTCAACCAGATGTTTGCCGCAGCTGCAGAACGTTTTGGTGATTTCACGGCTTTGGGTTGGAAGGAGGGTGAGCAACAGAAAACCCTCACCTACAAAGAGTACTACCAGGCTTGTCGCACTGCTGCAAAGGGTTTTTTAAAGGTTGGTTTCCTTCTTTTATGCTGATCAGATCAGAACTTGCCTTCTTCTTTTAGTTGGAATTTCTTTGGATGGATCTCCTGACTCGATATCCGTTAATTCATCTGTAAAACCAAAACTTTTGACCTTGTTGGAAATATATTGTCCTGTATGTTTAGGCAAGTCCAGATGTTTCAGAATTAGGCAAAGCAAACGCTGCGTTAGTTAGAAAAAAAACACCAGATGAGGCAAAAAAATCTAAACCTTGCATCCTTTACAAGATCCTGGTAAAGAATTGTTGGGATGCTCAGAATTTAGTGCAAGCTCCGCCCACAAACCCTCCGCACCTCTAACCTTCCGCTGGTACCATTCTACCATCAGTCGCTCTTTGCTTAATATTGTACTCATCGTAATGAAAGAGCCTAATAATTTAAACAGCTCTCATGTACGTAGGTGTAACTTTACCTTGATATAGACTCAACAGACTAGACTCTTCATAGATCACATGGTGCTGCTGTGATGATCAGCTGATTTAATATAAGCTGGGGATGGTCTGCAAATATTCTAGGAATTTGCTGTGAATTCAGTGGAATTCATACCTTAGAAAAAAAGAACAATCTTAGGATTTTAAGTCTTGTAACGGCCTTAAAAACCTTTCTGTGCAAAAAAAGCTATGGTGCTTTTTCTGTATGGAATTACAAGAATGTCTATCAACTATTAAATAAAAGGAAATGCTTGACTTATTAAATGTTATTTGGCTGATAAGGAATCCAGTCAGTCAGCCGACTTGTGCATTTATGTTTAATCTTTCTTTTGTTTTTGTGTTGTCTGTATAAAAAAGTAAAATGCACTGAATAGTATTTGTTTCCCTAACATATTTTGTCATTTAGTTTTAACCTTTTTTTTTTGGTGAAGACGTTATTAGCATTTGTTTTCATTTAGTCATGTTTAAGCCTTAACATCTGGACAGGAATTCATGAAATGAAAGTTTTGGATTGGCCTAGTCAAAGTCTAGCAGTCCTGATTGTTCTGGGGTGGTTGCTTCCTCCTGGATTGGTCGTCATTGAGTTGTTTGAGTTAAGTTGATTGGCGGCCAATTCTCAGAAGGCTGTTCCATGTTCCAGCTCTACCTGTGCTGGGACTGATAGAGATGAAGAGCTCTGCTTTTTCTGTTTCTGTGTTATTAAGAACAGGATCAGGGACCTTCCAGCCTACTTCATGTTGAAAGTCAGGTTCTGTTTAAGTAAGTCTGTAGGTCTAGAATAAAACAAGCCAAAGGGTGTTCTCCCTTTTACTTCATTAAATAAAAGCTTTATTTAACAGCTTCCTGAATTTAACCAGCTTATCTTGAAATTATAAAATGTGTTTGAAATCTGAAACATTGAGAAACACTAGACAAAAAAGCAAACAATAAAGAAAAGGAAGCAAATATTGAAATCCTAACATCCAGGTTTAATATCTGGTGGCCGTCCCTTATTAAAGAAAACAAACATTGATTTAGATGATTATGTTTTTATAGAATGTGGTACAACCATGATTGAGATGCACATGAACAGGGTTCATAGCTTTTTACTTCCTTCTTCTCCTTTTGAGGCATAACTTTGAATTCTCATTATAAAATTGTTTTCTTTTTTTGTATTATTCATGAAGATTATCATAACACTAGGATGTCTCAATTCGGTATTAATGTCAGATATGGGGTCCGATGTTTGCCAAAAACTAATATCGTATTTTATCGGCCGACAACTAAAATCTCCGATATTTTCTGATAGAAAAACTCTTCTGCTAAGAGTTCCTGTAAGTCATTTGTTAAATTTACAGGCATCTGTTGTTGACTTTTGTTCCCTGCTTTAGTAATATTACTTACTTATTATTAAGTGTTTTCTTACATTCTGCAGTATAAAGTAAGCAATAAAAGCCTACGCATTTCCTGCTAATATCTTATCGACTCAATGTTGGTTTTGGCCAATTCTCATGTGTGCAATACTGCATTGTATCAGAAATAAAAACATTGCAAGGGGACTTCCCTATATAACGGGTTTGATCATTAACGGAGGGAATTTGGTTCCATTATTGTTGCTAGCAAATAAAACCATATAAAAAAAGGACATTTGAACAACAAAAAAAGCAATCCAGATATAAAACTTAAAAAGGTAGCCTTGCTGTTTTCTCAGATTTATTTTGTCCAATTAGTTTTTGTTTAAATTTCTTTTTCTTTTTTTTATTATGTGTTTTTAAGACTTCATTTTAAATTTTCAAATTTATGTTCAAATTTTTTTTTTTGCAGAATTTCTATTTTAAAATGTTCTCTTTTTGGATTTTTTTTTTTTTTCGTTTTTACAAATGACATTGTCTTCACTTCTGGGGACGGGCTTCTCCCTGGAGTTAGGAGCGAAAACGTTTCTGTTGGGCAGCTTTTGCATTGGCAGAAACATTTTTATCAGTCTGTGTGTTTTCCAAATTTCAATTAATAAAACATGTTATTTTTCTGCAGCAATAATGGAACAAAATTCACTCCATACACTTGTGGATAATTAGTTTGAACTAAAAAAAAAGAATTGCACATTTAAAAACAGGACGTTTAATGAATTTTCCTCGCTGATATTATTCCCCAGATTGTTAAGATGTTTTAACTGTGGGCTCTTTTTATTTATGGCTCTGTTTGTGGTTTCTCTGCAGCTTGGTTTGAAGCGCTTCCACGGAGTGGGAATTCTGGGCTTCAACTCTGCAGAGTGGTTCATCGCCGACATTGGAGCCATTTTGGCAGGGTGAGTTCCCATTTCTCTAGTTCAGTGTCCATTTTTTTTAAAACAAAACAAATATTTTATCTCTAATCTGCATCAGTTTATTGACGTTGCTTATCGTGACTTAGTGAGATAGAATGTGCCACAGCTCGACCTCGGCCAGCAGGTCACATCTTAGCCTTGAGACATTTAACATAAACAAGCTGAAAAATATTTCTGTTGACATATTAAGCTTTTTTTTTGCAATATTTGCTAAGTTTACTAAAGTTCACATCTGACATTGGACGTGATGTATTGTTTCTGCTTTTAAGGACCCTTTTTTGTATTTGCTTCCTCAGGAGGGAAACAGAGCACAGATGATTTGATCAGAACTGCAGATAATCACTTCTGCTCACATTTAACTATGTTTTTTAGATGCTGAGAACTAAGAGCAGTTGAAACCAGGACGTTCAGCAGAATAAAAACTGAACAAACCGATTGGTCAAAACTGCAGCTGCTGCAGCTCACAGAGCCTCAACCTGTTGTGTAGAAATATGTACTTTTCTGGCCTCTAGTTTGTTTTTTGTTTTGTTTTTTTACCATGGCTTCATTAAAAGAGAAGCTAGCCTCAGAAAGGACAGGTTCCCCATTGTTCTCCTGTGTGCAAAGATAAACGCTCATGTCTTGCAGTTTAAGTATGGCTTTATGGCACGTACCGTGGTGGTATGTGGGTTTGCCTTCCACTCCCACGCCTCCTGTCACTGCAGACCAATCATAGAAAGAATGTGACCTAACCAGCTGCAGCGAGTCAAATCTCAGTTGCACTTCAGTATCTCAGTAGGAGCATCAGTTTAAGAAACCTTAGAAGACAAGATTAGTTGTTCCTTTATCTGGTTTTATGTAGATGCCAACTAACAAGGTCTTAATTTTCACTCGCCTTGGTTTACTTATTTTCATTTCATGCAATGTCGGCCCTTTCACAACAGAATTTATGCATTTGGTTCTCCATAGGTTTACAGATGCCTTTTTTTTTTTATCCTGGCACATGTCTATGAGCCCCATCCACACCATAAAGTAGCTCCCCAGCTTCCTGCTAACTCCTGGATTATTTTCCATGCATAAAAACTTAAACTTTGTGACTTTACCATAAAAACACAACTTCCCTGTATCTTACTAGGAGATTTTTTAAAACATGCTAACAAAAAGAGGCCTGTGAACAATTCTATGTTTTGATTTTAACCATTTCTTTACCCCCCTGTCCTCATTTTAAAGAAAATCATCACCTTTGACCTTCTCCTCCTCTCTTGCAGCGGGTTTGCTGTGGGGATCTACACCACCAATTCCCCTGAGGCGTGCCAATACGTAGCAGAAAACTCCGAAGCTAACATTATCGTGGTGGAGAACCACAAACAGCTGCAGAAAATCCTTCAGGTGAGAGAAGAATCACCATATAAACCACTGATCTGATTGGTTTTAAATTCCAGGAACGTAAAACCTGCAACACAGGATCAAATAAACAGCTTTAACAAGTTCTGATCAGTATTTCTGTTTTGTTTATCTTCTGTTTCCTCTTTCCACTGCTGTCATTATTGTTGTTTTATTTCAGTTTATAGCTTTAATGTCATTCATTAGTTTACTCTTTTATTTTGAACATTATTACACTAACAAAACCAAGAGTTTCAACATGAAGTAGTTTTGCATTTTATGTCTTAATTTAAGTAAAAATATATAAAGCAAATAAAATGTGTTGTTTGGGGAAATGTGTGACCGGTTTTGAATTAACAATATTTTTACCATAAATACAAAGAAACTTTGGTGGATTTTTTACTCATAAACGGCTATTTTCATCAGGAAGAACATCTCAGTCAGGAAGTTATTGGCACTATGCAACACGTTTTATATTTCGTGTTTTCTGCATCCGGAGTTTATTTTTATTTTTGCGAGCAAAGAACATTGCAAGAAAATTGACAACATGCAACCTAGAAATGAAGCTTTAAAAAGCTTCTTCATAGAAAAGGGAGCGTTTATATTGGGTTTGGAGGGAAGAGAATGGGATCTATAAAATCAAATTTGAAAAAAAGGCAATTGGCAAATTTCAAGCTGAAAAAGAAAAAATTGAACAAAATAAAATTGAAAAAAAAAAGTAAAACTTTTATTTTTTTATTTTTTAAAGGTGAAATATGGAAAGAAAGAAGATATTGACAATAAAAGAAAAAACATTTTGATTATAGGTTTTCAAACTTTTGGTTTTTGTTTGCATTTCTTTCAATTTTCCTTTTACAAAAGATGTTCTTTGCTTCCCACACAATGTAATAAAATTACTCCACATGCATCTTATTCAAGAAAACATGGAATATAAAATTTTAGCATCGTACCACTAAATTCTTGAATGAGCAGAACTTCTCATTTAAAATGGCCTTTTTTAAATGAGTAAGTGTTTTACTCAGTCATGTTATTGTCTGCAGATTAAAGACAGGCTGCCTCACCTGAAAGCCATTATCCAATACAAAGATGCAGTGAAAGAGAAGAGAGAGAATCTGTACTCGGTAAGCAGACTGTTTGATCCAGATCGCTCAGAGGTATGTAGGGAGGCCCAACTGATCGGTTCATCTCATTTCCAGTGGGAAGAATTCATGGAGATCGGTCGCAAAGAACCGGACGGACCTCTGGATGCCATCATCTCCAGCCAGAAGCCCAATCAGTGCTGCACGCTCATCTACACCTCAGGGACCACGGGCCAGCCAAAGGGGGTCATGCTAAGTCACGACAACGTGAGTTCTGAGTTCCCATGATGTGACTGCGTGTTGAAGGGTTTTTGGGTCGGATGTTCGCGGCTCTTTGGGGAATGGAAGCAGATGGACAGATGAAAAGTTTTCTGGATTTTTTGCTGGAGCGTTTCAGTGTTTGATTCAATTCAAACATCTGGACACTAAAGGCGGATTTATACTCACTAACCAGATCGTCTGTGTGTGTCGCTGTTAACGCAGATATGCCCCCGCCCCTTCCGCAGACAGGAATCCTCTGACTTATATAGCGCTTTTTCAAGTCAGGAGACTTGACCAAAGCGCTTTACACTACACTCAGTCATTCACCCATTCATGCACACACTGATAGTGGCAAGCTACATTGTAGCCACAGCTGCCCTGGGGCTCACTGACAGAAGCGGGGCTGCCGTACACTGGCGACCACCATCAGTAGACAATGCAGGTAAAGTGTCTTGCCCAAGGACACAACGACACTGAAAGTCAGAGTCAGGGCTTGAACCATCAACCCTTCGATTTCAGGGCAAACTCCTACATCCGACGCCACTATTGATAGAAGAGCGAGATGCGTTAGAATGCTGGGACCCTTTTTCCTACTGGATCCCCACTCTTTTTCGCCCTCCTGTCCCTCTGTTGTCGCACAAACTGGTCCTCCCCCCCTCGGCCGTATCTGTGGCAGCAGTGTGTCACTCACCCTTAACAGTTTCACCCTGCTAGTTTAAACAAAAGGCATCATTGTGCTGCATGCTAAGGTGACAGATCAATGCAAAACAACAAACAGGAAGCGTTTGTATGCAGCCAACGTAAAACCCAGTTTAACCAGTTTGTACTTTACTTAGCCTAAATTCAGTCTCAGAGGATTGTTAGAGAACATTAGTGAACAAACGGCTCAACGGAAAGGGCAGGGAGGAATCAGCTATAGAGGAGCAGCGCACTGTCAATGGAACAGCTTTTTGTCCTGTATAGAAGAGGAGCAGATGAAAAGAGAACAAATCAAGCTTTTTGCCCTACATGTAAAACACTGGAGGAAAACAATGAGCCAGCATCTCTCAGGTGAAATATGGTGGTGGGAGGATTATTCTGCGTTCAGCAGAGTTTGGGGAGAGGATGTAGGAACTGAATGCTGGGTAATCTTGGAACAAAATGCATTAAAGATCAGAAAAGGTTGAGATTGGGACAAAGGTTTGCCTTCCAACAGCACGGCAAACCCTAAACACACAGCATAGCCTCAGCTGGAGGAGTTACATCATCACATTTAGGATCTTTTACAAAAGGAAAAGGCAATAAAATTCTGTGGTTGTGTGAAGCCCAGATAGATGTATGGGAAATCCAATTAAAGAAAGATTGAAGGATTACAAACACTTTAATACAATATGTTTCTGTTATGATAATAAATAAGCATGAAAACATACATCATAAAACATCCTTCATGGCTAAACTCTGTATAATTCAGTTAATATTTAAAATCCGAATAATAATTCAAACTAAAACAGAGAAGATCCTGGACAACAAAGGATTGTTTCCCTTTTTCCTCCACTGCTGATCATCTCTGAACACCTCAGGTTGATCTTGTGATGCTTTTAAGACCCTCAGGCTGGAGAAGAAAAAAAAAAAAATGCAGCTGATTTTGTTTTACAACCGTAACAGAGTGCTGCACCTCAGCAAGGCGTGTTTTATGGGGAAAGAAGCGCATTATGCTTTACTCAGCATATCAAGTTAACCTTTATCTGATCACGGCGAAATGACTGATCCTTTCTGGCTTTACGTGATCTCTTTAAATCCTGCGACAAATTTAATAATTTACTATAAAAAGATCTCAAACTGTTAAGCTGATATTTGGGGTTATAGTGAAAAGGAACCAGTGTGAACTTTTACATCACTGGGATTTTTTATAAGCCTGGTTAGATTATTCATTAAAGGGTCAGTTTGTTTTTCCAGCTACAGAGTTATTAGAGATGCTCCAGATTTGCTCAAGTTACAAACACTGAATTATATTTGAAGCAAGATGTAAATGTTTGCCATAAAAAAATACAACAGTTTCTCAATTTAGAAAATAAGTGGAAGATAAGAGAAAAAAAGGAAACCAATTTCTTGGTCCAACGCTTCAGTTTTTGGGATAAAACTGAGGAATTCAATTCATGAAGATCTCAAACGTGTTTAAATCATGTAAAAACAAAGTATTTTTATTTAATATTAATATGAAGAGGCTCATGTTAGGTTTTCCTTATGTCGATTATTTTATTATTCTATGTTTTATACATATTGATAGTTTCCTTAAAAAGTTTACTGATTTAATCAAACTAATGCATTACTATTTTGCTTTATTTTGTCTGTAAGCTTCTTGGCAAAGGATATTTAGTTTTTTTCCTCTCCCTTTTGCTTAGGGGAAATGTTTGACAGAAAGAAAATGTAATTTTTGGTGATTTTATGCCTGAATTAAGTCTGAATCTTATTTACCTCCCAGCTGTTCTTTTGTACTGTTTTAAATGTTCTAGACCTGCAGTTTAAAATATGGGTGTCTGTGTGTTCAGATAACTTGGACCGCTCTATCAACGGGCAAACACGTCCACCTGAAGGACGCCACCCAGTCCCAGGAGGTGGTGGTCAGCTACCTGCCGCTGAGTCACATCGCGGCGCAGATGGTCGACATCTGGGTCATCATGAGGGTCGGAGGGGCGACCTACTTCGCTCAGCCAGACGCCCTGAAGGTGAGCAGCTGACAACAGTCTGACCTAATCTCAGACTGAACTGTTAACATTAGCTGTTTGCTAAAAGCCTGAATAGGTAGAAAGAGTTATGTGTAACTACGGCAACTCCTTAAGGCATTTTTTTCCCAGCTTTAAAGATGGCGTGTAGAATGCATCTTCTGGTTATTTATCTATTTATGGATTAAGTGTAAAAACATTGTACATAAAGCCAAACAATTAGAGATTCTTATAATATAAAAACAAACACTAAATATGTTTTTCTACAATGTAAAGCTCTACATTTTATATCTCTCAATCCAGTTCAAACACTGAATAAATAACGCTTGACCCTCCGTGGCTTATTGGACCAAATGTGCTTCACTTCTTCATGTTTTGGTCTCACCTGTGAGGCAGTTTTAGAGCAGATAAACTCCTTCTGTTTATCAAACGGACGTTTATGATGTCCCTCATGTTCCGTGCACTTTGACTGTTACAGGTGTGTTGATTCACTTCAACGTTTATCTCACAGGTCATAAAGTTCTGAGGATTTACTGCGCTGAAGGAAAGAAAAAAGCGGATTTATCTTCCTGCAAAGTTGATCTCAAAGAAATTAAAATAATATATCAATTTTTTTCGTGTTTGAGCACAAAAACATTTAGAAAAAAGGAGGATGGCGTCAGTTTGCTGCAACCAATCCTTTAAAATTAATTTCCACTTCAGCTGCTTCCTAACAAGGATTGTTTTTATTCTGCAGGCATTTCCATCTTATCTATCACCTCAATGTGTTCATATAACTATTAAAGCATGGCATGTTGTTAAGAGTAGATTATCTACAGGACACGGACGCCCTTAAGGCTATGTGACTGTTACACAAACAGAAAAGGCCCTTTTTTATTGGATTTTCCTCATTAATTTCAGTTTATTTGAAGGCTTTTTCACCGAAGGTTTGATAATCGGGTAAAATGTTTCTTTTTGAATGCGTTTTCTCAGGGAACTCTGGTGAACACTTTGAAAGAAGTGCGTCCCACTGCCTTCATGGGCGTCCCGCGGGTTTGGGAAAAGATGCAGGAGAGGATGAAATCAGTCGGAGCCAAATCTTCAGCCGTGCGGCGGAAAGTGGCCGCCTGGGCCAAAGATGTCGGTCTGCAGACCAATCTGACCAAGATGAACCAGTAAGGCTGCTCTGAATAACTTCCTGCTTGTTTTTTTTACCAATTACACAGAACCACTATACACACACACATATATATATATATATATATATATATATATATATATATATATATATATACACACACATATACATACATACATACATACATACATACATACATACCTACCTACTGATATATTTTTTTAATGTTCCTTCCTTGTTTTTCTCCCATAAAGAAACGCAGCAGCCGGCCGTGCACCGTTCAGCTATCAGGTGGCCAAAAAGCTTGTGTTTAAGAAAGTTCGTAAGGCTCTCGGTCTGGACCGCTGCACCAAATGCTACACCGGCGCCGCGCCGATCACCAAAGACACGCTGGAGTTCTTCCTCAGCCTGGATATCCCTCTGTACGAGCTGTACGGCATGAGCGAGAGCACCGGACCCCACACCATCTCCAAACCAGAGGCCTTCAAACTCACCAGGTACAGCTTCTCTGAATTCACTCTGAAAACATCCAGGAAGGCCTTTAAACCTGTCAGTCAGAGGCAACATGGAGCATTTATTACATCAGCACAAGCAGAGAAAGAACAAAGAAGAGAATATTTTTAAAAAAAGTAAAGAATCTAAAGATGCACAGATCTGAAAATAATATCAGTATCAGTCTTGATCATTGAAGATAATTCTGGATCCAGTATTGGTAAAAATGGGCCTGATCCATTAGGAGAAAGATTCGATCTATTCAGTCTATTTCTGTGATAAATTTAAATTAGGTTAAAAATCTCTTCATCATAAAAGTTTTCTTCTTTTGGGGTATATGTCTTTGATTTAGGGGATACCTGCTGGTTTAACTCCTCCCATAGAATGTTTCCCTGTTCTTGTTTGCTGGTTAGCCAATGCTAACAGTCAACTTGAATTTCCAGAGGGAAATCAGAAACCTCTGCCTGTTATCTGGGTCACTATGCTTCCTTATATCAGCTCCAACGCTCAAATGTTTGGACGTTCATCCTTATTTTTTTTTTTTTGTTTGTTTGTTTTTTCTGGCTTTAATCTAAGAAATGTCAGAGTGAGAGGAAGCTTTTTCTCCACTCTGTCAGAGAGCTCCACTCAGTTAACTTTAACCTACCATTACTATTGGTGCAGAATGTCAACCTCTGCATCGTAACGTGTGTCCCGCATGCGCAGTAGAGGATGCAATGGCGTCACAAGTTATGATCGTGCTCTGCGTTTGCGGAAATAAACATCGTTGGTAGTGCTGGGGCACAGCTCTCCACCGTTCATTTCCTTCCTTTTCTTCCTGCTCCTGGGTCGCATTGGAAAATATCTGATCTGTGTTGTTCAGACTGTCACGAAAAGATCAGATCCAGGTCACAAATGGGCAAAAAACAGAATCTGCTGCAGTGCGAACGTAGCCCATGACAACCTCCCAATAAAACCAACAGTCAGGATGGTAACATTAAAGCAAACAGAGCTCTGGTATCGGAAAATGTTGGGCTCAGCAGATATCGGATCAGATGTGGAAAAAATGCGGATCAGTTCATCCCACATCTGAATAAAGTTGAAGTCTGAATGCTGTTTGCATTTGAATAAATAGGGCATCAGATTGTAAAAGATGGTGGTAATGCATCTAATTCACTCAGAGATAATGAAGAGAAAAATGTTGATAAACTACATTAATCTGCTTAAGAAGAAATCAGAAGTCTTCCTTAAACACTAAATCTTTGTTTTGAGATAAATTCAGAAACACCTTAAAAGACAACTAGAATATATTCAGAATATTTTGTTATTATTCATTAACAGATTTAATAAACCTGAAAATCCCAAACTTAGCTAAAATATTAAATTCCATAATATTCTGGCAACTCATTAAAGGTATTATGGAGGATTTTCGCGAATTTTTGAAAACACCTACCCTCTCCACTTTCAATAAAAAAATGCACATGCACAACCCTGTACCTGCTGCCAAAAGGGAACGCCAATTAAACAAGTAAACGAGCACTGGAAAAACGATCTAGAAATAAGTAAAGATTACTTACATTAAGTTAATTTACTGTTAATTTGAGTAGTTAAATGAGATATTTTGCCAATGGAATTAATATTTTTACTTTTAAAATAAGATAATTATTGTAATTAAATGTGATTTCTCTTGTTCCTTTGGCAAAATGTCTCTTTTACCTCCTCAAACCATGAATAAATGCACTTATTTTAAGAAAGAAATGACATATCTAGATTTTTTTTCCAGTGAGAGCGTGCACGAGCCCATTTCTCCTCGTGCACGCTCCGTTTAAAAGTTGCTCTTTGCATCACTCATACAAGCTTACTTTCTAATAATAATTAATATTATAGTTGAACTTTATTGATCTCACACTGGAGAAATTTACCTCTTCATTTAACCCATCCCCTTGTGGATCAGTGGGCTGCCATTGTGTGGCGCCTAGGGAGCAGTGTGGGGTTAAGGGTCTTGCTCAGGGACCCAGAGTGGAGCGTCAGGTTCTTGCAATCTTCTCAGAGCACAAGCACAATGCTCTAAGCACTAGGCCAACACTCCCCCCAAAAGAAGATCAGCAGTTTTTCCACTATGTAAGACTTTCCACCAGTAAGGGAAAATGGGGACGTAGGATGGCCTTAAGTAAACACATCACCAGAATGATTGACAATTAGGAGGACCACTTATTGAGATTGACATCCTCCACTGTACCTTTTAATTACATTAAAAACATTCAAATAATGAATATTGTGGAACTAAAAGTTTTGTATCTTCATATATATTGATTACATTCAGTGATTACATTCAGTGTATAAACTAAAGGGTAATCAGCTGTAATATGCTAAGGCGAAGCTCCGTGGTGTGGACCTTCTCATTGTTTCTACCAGTGTTGTGCCGATGCCATTTTTTGGCCCTGATACCGATACCCGATAACTGGCTGTGCAGTATCGGCCCATTAGCTTTGCTCTCGCTAACTAACTTCCAGCTGTTTCTGCATCTTGATCAGAGATGTTCAGAGTCGAGGTTCTACTGATTTACTGCCTGGAAATGGCCTTTAGTCTTTTTTTGTTGTTTTCAAATTAAGAGCATGTTAAAGACTCTGCTTACAATGTTGCTTTTTGTGCTCCTGCAGCTGTGGTATAGAGATCCCTGGGTGTAAAACTAAGCTGCACAACCCTGATGAGGAGGGAAACGGGGAGATCTGCTTCTGGGGCCGACACGTCTTCATGGGTTACCTCAACGCCGTCGACAAGACTCAGGAGGCCATCGATGAAGACGGCTGGCTGCACTCGGGTGACCTGGGCAAACACGACGACAGCGGATTCCTCTTCATCACCGGCAGAATCAAAGGTACTCCTCAGATTGTCCAGGGATGTTCATCCCTCCTACCTCCAAACGACCAGACTTTTCATTGCATTGTTTCCTGCAGAGCTGATCATCACAGCAGGAGGGGAAAACATCCCTCCGGTTCCCATCGAGGACGCAGTAAAGGAAGCAGTGCCGCTGATAAGCAACGCCATGCTGATCGGAGACAAGAGGAAGTTCCTCTCCATGCTGCTCACTGTCAAGGTGAGAACAGAGGCATTTAGCCGCTTCCTACAGCAGCCAGTTAAACTGCAATTAGATGGAGTGTCAGAAACTAATCTATTTAAAGCTCAACACCGCCATCTGGTGATCCCTGAGAAAACTACATCTTTACGTCTTATTTTAATAGACAATAAAAAAAGGCCTTAATGAGGGAATAAGTTGATCAAAATAAACATAAAAACCAAAAGTAGGTAAAAAAATTTCACAGCTGATAATGACATAGGCATAAAATTCCATTTAAACCCAAGGTTATTGCTATACCTGCTGGTTTTGCTTTTTTGACTTTAGTCAGAGGTTGTATGAAGCGAGGTAAAGATTAGGGTGATGGTGAGGAGGCCCTCTAACATAAAGAACAAATAGACAATAATAAGAGATCATAAGTAAATTCTGGGTAACATTTAAAGGGTTTATTTATGCTGCAAATAAAGTAAAACTTTTCTGTTGGTTGTTGGTAAAGTTTTGTTTTTTCAAACATTTTTTAATAAAATGTAAATGAAAGTAGCATTTTTTTGTTGTTTTTAAAAAAAATGGAAATAAAAAAATTCTCTTTATTTATTGTAAATAATCCTGGATATAAATAATAATAAAAGGTTGTACAGTTAAAGCTGATTTTCTCGTCCCGCAGTGCCAAGTGAACCCAGAGACGGGCGACCCACAGGATGAGCTGACGCCAGAGGCCGTGGAGCTCTGCAGGAGGCTGGGCAGCAACGCCACGCGCGTCTCTGAGGTCGCGGGCGGTCGGGACCGCGCCGTCCACGCCGCCATCCAGGAGGGGATCAACAGAGTCAACGAGAAGGCGACATCCAACGCCCAGCGCATTCAGAAGTGGGTCATTCTGGACCGGGACTTCTCTGTCGGTGGAGGCGAGCTGGGTCAGTGTACCATCAATAAATAGAACCACAGAGGTTCTAAATAAAGAGAGTCTTCATATAACTGATGAGCTTTTCCAACCAAACCAGTCCTAGCGTCAGTTCTAGTGATGCTCATAACTCTAATCTGCTTTTGTCCAACAGGTCCCACCATGAAGCTGAAGAGGCCCGTAGTGCTGAAGATGTACAAAGATCAGATTGAAAACTTTTACAAAGAGACGGCGCCTCCAGCGAGCCAGGACAACCAGCTGCCTCCCAAATAGACGCAGCTTTCCCAGCAGCGACCGTCAGACGGCTCCACGTCACCCCCTGCCTCATCAGTCCACCTCCTCTTTGTTCCTTTTTCTGCCTCAGGCTGGTATATGTCGGGTCTTGTACAAAGAAAAGCAGATAGCTTTAAAGTTTAAAATATAAATGCAGCTATTTGTTTGGATCCGATGGCTGACGGATGGGGTTGAGCCGTTTATGGGGGAAATCGCACTGAAAAACTTGAGCTAAAGACACAGAATCCAAACACAGCAGTTAAGAGGATGTTTTTTTTTTTGTTTTGTTTTTTAAATGGACTGACTTGATTTATTTATTCTTTTAGTTTGCCAAAGTTGACGTTCTCACCAAAAACAAATGAAGAAAATTGTTTTATTTGCAGAAAATGTAACGTTTGAACTCAAAGCTGTCTCCAAACATGAAGCCATATCTGTCGCTTTTATTATTTTTTTTTACCTGTAAATCTCCTGTGTTGATTCCTTGATGTTTGTAAGTATTGTCAATACGTTTGCTCTCCTTCTTCTGTCTTGGTTGAATCGACTCGTTTTAACCTGAAATGTACATTTGTCAGAATATGTCAGATTATTACATCAGCGAAAATCACCTATTTTTTGGCCTTCTTAAAGATTTTCTTTTTGAATTTTATGAAATATAAGGCGTATTGCACTCAGTACAGCGGATGTTTACATGCGGATGTTGTAAATAATGACATACGGTGGAAGAGGAAGCGATAACTTTGTGGCTCTGGTTCTCTTAAAGCAGCTAAAGTTAACTGTAAATAACTTATTTAAACAGCTAAGTAAAGGAAATGATGGTGATTCAGTGTGTGTGTGTGTGTGGGGGGGTGTTAGGTGGCTTTAAATAAAGAAAACATGCAGCTCTAAGTAAAGCTGTGGTTTATCTGTGAAACATCAGAAAACTTGTTCCTGTTATCAGAGCGAGAAGTAAAGCAGGCAGAGACTGAATTCACTTGAACCTGAGCTGCTGTTTGATAAGAGCCCGATTCATGCAGCAGAGATAAAGTGAAGCTGGCCTGTTTGTCCTGACAGAAATGTGAAGATTCCTTTAATCTGTTCTGGAATAAATCCTCATTCAAATCTTGTCTGCAGATTATTTTCTGTGACTTTTACTTGTTTTTCTGGAGAATTGAAACCAACCATCACACTTTGACACCAACAATGGGGAATTAGTTCAAGCTGAACTGCTTGGTTAAAAATATTTGTTGGTAGAACAAAGTGACCTTAAACATCTTCTTAAAAAAAAAAACATGACAGTGAGACTTTAAAATTTGAAATGCTTTGTTGGGTTTTTCTGACTGACGCCATGGACAGAAGAAAGGCTGATTTTTAAAGGTTTATGCAAATAGAAATCTGGAAAATGCAGCATGCATTTCAACTTAGTAGATAAATCACCTGTACATAGTGACAGGTCTACAATCTATGAATATAGTAACGCTTCAAATGTCGACACAAAAGGATTCAGCTCTGAAAGGAACAGTTGGATGAGGTCTGGATCCCAAAGTGGGAATTAATCATGCAATTACTGGAGTCTTGGTAGAAATTAATGGAAATTAATTAATTGAAATTATGATGCATTTTTTAGGTCGTATTTAGCCATGTTGAACAGGTTTCTTTCAGACAGGTAATTCAATTGTCTGCTTTTCTTTTTTCTGGCCCTTTGCCTCTGATTAGTAGGGCAGACCTGGAAAATTGTACAGGAGGAGTGAGAGGGGCGCCCCCTACTGGCCAGGAGGAGGACTGAAAGTCAAGCTCATCCTTTAACAGAACAGCAGCAGCCTGAGCAGCTTCCTTTTACATGTTAAACAGACTCCAGGAAGGAGAGCAGGTCTATGAGCACATGTCTAAAAATGTTTATAACCTTCAAAAATGTTTTATAGTTATGGTCACTACTTTTGGAAAGTGAAGCTTCAGGAGATTTAAGGCTTTATTTCTTGTAATTTTGATAATTCTGGTTTAAACATAAAACCAAAGATTGTCTCAGAAATTGAAAAAACAGCAAATTTTCTTCTCAGTCTAAGAACAAAATCATGAAGAAGAATGCAGATTAGACACACGTCACTGATGCCGTCCTGAAAAAATAATCGCTTAGGAAGATGGATGTTCACAGAAAGCTGGAGCCGAGGATATTCAAAGAAAGTTAAGTGAAAGGAAAAAGTGCCCCAACAACAGGGAGAAAACCACATAGAGGAATCCTAATCTGATCTAGAGACGTCAGACGCATCTAACCTGAGCTAAAGAGAAGAACTGGACAGTTCCTCGGAATTTGAAAGCTCTCTCTTCAAATGACACCATTTTGCATTTCACTGCTCAAGAAGCAGTTAAGACTGAATTTATGGTTTTTTAATTTAAGTGATTATCATAGAACTTCCTAAACATGCAAAATAAAGTGTTTTTTCCTTTCTAAAAATTCAAATAAAATAACTGGAGGAAAATCAGCAGAAACCTAAACATGTTTCCTGCAGCATTTAAACACAAAGCAGCACTGCAGTCCCTCCAACAGCTTCATGATGCGTTCAGGAACATGTGGTACGTTTGATTATAGAGGGCTTTGTCTATACTGTACTATACCTATAAAATGTCAAATTATGTTCACGTTAAAACTGAGTTGCATAGCACTTGTTGATTTTCTTTTGTGCGTCTCTACGGATCTTAGGCATTTTCCTCATCGGTTTCACTCCTCTGGTGGGAAAACACTGACTTGTGTGATTCCATTACTTCCTTGTTCCCCTGGACATTTTTTTATTATAAACATAGAAAACTAAATTAAAAATGGAAGCTGAGATTTTGCCATAATTTAATCAGAACGCCTTTTGATGCAACCAGAGTGAGGACCAATTTAAACCTTTAGATTTTGGGACTCTGAAACAATAATCGCTTTCTTCTGGTTGCTAACGTAATATAAAACCATCTCTATGATAATTTCTATAGAAACCAAGTTGTTTCTCTTGACTTAAACAGAAAAAAATCGAACATACTGTTAGGATAATTATTATTGATGATCTGTGAGTTAATTTCACCTGAACTGATGTTTTCCACAATAGTTTAATTAAAACAGTTCCTCTGTCCGGATATACAGTTATAATCTTCATTTTGCACGTGGCAAAGATTTGGGAATGGAATGAGAGCGGCGTCCTTCCGCTAAGAACAAAGTGTAATATTTTGATAAGGCTGGAGCCATGGATGTCTCATCTGCTAACATGTATGATCTAAAATATGATGATGTGGCAGACGGGAGATGTATAAAATGCTTTTTTAACTGTTAATTGGGGCAACTTCCTGAGAGGTGAGCAGCTGCCCTCTGTAAACTCTAAGCAACTTATCTGATTTATATCCGAATCTGTTGTCATGTCTCCTGGTTATTTAATACATATAAGTTATGAAGTGTTATTTAAAGAGTTTGTCCCGGGTGTCAGAATTCTAGCTGATAGGTGTTCAAAATACTTATTTGCAGCTGTATCATACAAATTAATAGTTAAAAAATCATAAATTGGGATTTCTGGATTGTTTTTAGATTGTCTCTTAAAGGGACATGCACCTACATTGACAATTTCAGACCTTTCAGTGACCTTTCAGAGTGGCAGGGTGTTCAAATACTTATTTCCCTCCCTGTATAAATATATATTTTTACAGTGGTACCTGAATCTGTATTACTAGGAGAGAAATTACAACAGCCAGGGTTCACATTACTGACATTTAAAAGGCAAAACCATGTAGTTGTTTCTGGGTTATTTACTAGTCAGGTGGTGCTGGCCCTTATTCTCTATTTGGGTATTTAAATCTCCATTTCTGCATCTCTTGAGTTTCATGTTTGTTCTGATAAAAACCTGATGCCTTCACAGAAAATCTGGATTTATATTCAGCGCTTAAACACAGACATATAGGCTCTAATCACCAATTAGGGGGTTCTAAAAATTTATCTTTTCCTCAGGATAAAATGGGTTAAATATAAAAGCAACTATTTTCAGATCTTTGTCACCAAAAATCCCAACAATGACATTCAAGTTGGCTGTCAGAGCGACAAAATATTAAAACACTTAAGTATGAGAAACATATCTGCTTAGAACATAAGTCGTTTTTTTTTTATTGAAAAATAAGAAACGGGAACCAATTCCTCACAACTCTAATCTGGATCGTTCATTCATAGGATTGGAGGTTCAATACGGGCCCCCAGGTAGAACTGATCCAAATCCCTTTTATGGCCCCTGTACCAAAGCCATAACAGAAAAGCAAATGTGTGAGAAATAAATAAGATGCTCTGAACAGAAACGGATACTGATAGAATTCAGTTTTTTGTTTTTGCAGCCTTATTGCATCGATATAAAAATTAGGCTGTTGCTCTAGTATAGGATTAGTTTAGATCTGATTGGAGGTTTCCAGAGCTGAAAATGGCTTCTTGGTTAACTTAATAATTCAAACGTTGAACCTATGTCTTTTATTTTATTCCTTTATTTTGTGCCCCCATGAAAAAGCACCAAGAGTGCCACCGCTCGCTAAACTGCTACTCGGAAAGAATTTAACAATCAACAAAAATCTGAACTAAAACCTTAAAAAGAGAAATTGATTCAGGAAAAACTAGGATCTGATTGCTTTCCTGCATCTTTTAATCACAGTATCAACCACCAAACAGGAAGTAAAACCTTCCCGCTCCACCAGACGGAGGTTGTATTGCAGACATCGGAAAGATGGATTTGACTCTTCCCATTCACGGCGTTCTTATCCAGTTGTGAATCCCATAATAATAAGCCCTGTTGTTATTGATCAGCCCCACCCCCACCTGCTGCTTGTCCTTTTAACCCCTCAGTGGGGTTGAACTTCCCATGAACCCGGGTCACACGGCGGTCACAGACTTCACACACACAGGTCAACAGTTCTTAATGACTTTATTAATAATATGAATTCAAAATAAAAAATAACATTAAAATAAGGTTTCATCCTCGTTAAGAACTTGCATCATATGGCCACATGGTGGCATCGCAATGCCAAGTTTTTTGTTTTGTTTCAAAAATACCAAATTGTTCTTTTTGCCGTCCGTCCAGTTCGTTTGTTCTGCTCCTGGTTGCTTTGACCCCCCCCCCCCCCATAGATGCAGGCGACCCTGTCCCCTCAGACACATTATGACACAAACGACACAGGAAACACCCGGCATGCCCCCCCGGTGTTTGATCTTCCCTCCATCTGCTAAGGATCCACACAGTAGATAACCAGCCTCTGCAGC